CGTTTCTCTCAGCCTGCTCTGCAGAGAACTCTGCGTACCAGGCTCGCCAATCCAGGTAACTACCCGAGGGCAGACACGCCTTTGCCAGCTGAATCCAGTCCGCGGGGGTGAGGGGCCCAGAAGACAGGTTCTCCAGCATGGCAATGGTGTAAGGCGCAGTCGGCCCAAAGGTTGTAACTGCATTTTTAAGTTCTCTAATCTGCTTTATCTCAAAAGGCTCCCATGCATTACGTCCCTGGCCCATAGCTACTTGTACAGGAAATATCCCGTAGGGGCCACTATCTATCCCAGGTGGTGGATGTACCTCATGAGACAAACGTCCCCCCTGCCAAAGCCGCCTGTAAAAATACCGACCCGCCGGCGGCGGAGCATAAGACGGCGGCCGTGATTGGGCGGAAAATGGGGGCCCGTGCATCACTTCCTGTTCTGGCGAAGAGGAAGGGAGCTCCCGGGCGGCCGCCTCGTGGCGAGGGATCGCTTCCGGGAACAGCCCCCAAGGTGGGGCGGAAGGCTTTGCCTCCCTCTCGCGCCGGGGAGCGCTCAGGAGCTCTCCACTCCTCCGCAGACCAAGTTGAGCGGAGCGCAATTCGAGGGGCAACGCTGGGAAAGAACCCTGCGACTCCTTATCGAGCGACTTAGGCTCCTGACAGCTGGTCTCTTTGGCCTCCTTGCCATTCAACTTTCCCTCGTCCTCGGAGTCAGACGACTCCGAGGCTAGAGCCCCGTCCTTCTCCTTAGCATCTTTGTTCCCCTTGACGGGCCCCTCTCGGGAGCTCCCCGACTGGGCCTGCTCAAATACCCTGCGTACTTTTGTAAGCTCTTGAGAGCTTTCTCCACAACCACCCTCGCTCTTAGTGTTGCTACCTAGCATGTTTCCCATCTTTTATTATGTTACTCACCGCGTGAGGCCCAAGGAATCCGCCACTTACGCGTGAGCCTGAGGGGAGTCTAAAAGCCCTGTAGGTGCGCGCCACCCAGAGCCCAGGCTTATCCCCAACTCACCTGTCTCGCAGCTCTGTACTGGAGCGTTGTCCGCTGTCACGTCTCGGGGGTGATCAGTCCCCGTGCGGGCCTCCAAATGTCGATGTCGCTCCCGGCCGGCAGGAAGGACACACGACAAAGCCTGGCAGTGGACAACCTTTTCTTTTATTTTCCTTCTCCATACAGCCTGCCCTGGGATCGCTCCCAGCCGAAGCCTCCTTTGGTCCGCTCCCCGCGGCTCCTTCTGGGCTTCTACTTCCGGGCTTCTTCTTCCCCCCAGGGGTGGCACCAGTATATATACGGATACAGTGTCCAATCATGTTAAAGTAAGCAAGGCAAGCTGATTGGCTAACATCATCAGTTGCCAGGCAGACTATATTGTTGAGCGGGTTGCTTACGCGGTAAGCAGGAAACTAACATATTCGATGGGAGGGGTAATCTACCTCAGGCTTTGCTCTTTACTACAGGCCTCACGTCCGCCAAGTGAGGCGACCGGGCTCGGGGCTGCGGCTCCCAACATTTCCCTGTCCCCGAAAAATGCTTAGCCTTGAGACAGTTCCTTTCCTTGCTCAAACTGCTTTTTTTTTTTTCTTCTTACACTGCTACTCTAAGTATCAGCCAGAAAGTTCTCAGCTTTGGCGCTACTTCTGGGAGTCTCCCTTACACTGGTGCTCTCGGTAGAGAGAGCTCCTCTGGGTGTGTAGACCAAATCTTGTCTCTGAGTAATCTCCTCATCCTCTACGCCACCACAGTCCACACTGCAACAGAGGCTCCCTAAATGCACATTTGCACACACAGACACACACGTGCACACGCAGGGATCCTGACAGTGGCATGGAATGTTCCGGAATGCCTCATGACAACACACCTGTGTCCCTGGTGCCCGAGGTCCTCCGGAGCTGGCTGGTCCAGTGACTGTGGTCTCCCGCCGAGGCCTTATCTCCTGGGTCCAGGCCCCACGCGGCCTCCTGGAGCAGTCACTAAGGTGGGAGAGGAAGTGAGAACAGGAAACGGGGACAATGTTCCATCAGGGTTGAGCCCTGCTGCCCAGCGCAGCCACCTGCTCACCAAGCACCCCGAACCGATGCTCCCCTCCTGCTGCTCCCCTCCTGCTCCTCTCCCCGCTCCCCTGCCGGGCGTCCTGGGCCTCTGGCCAGCTGATCGCACCGCCCTTTCCCTGTGTCCGCCCCAGCCGCTCTGTTTACCCTGCGTGCTGGCCCACTGCGCCCCACATCGATCCTACTCGGCTGCCCTTCTCTCCCTCCAATCTCCCTGTTAGTTCAGCCCCAGAAAGCCCCTTATCACCGCCGGATGCCGGGCCTTGGCCACCTGGCCTAACAGACTCCCCATAAATTGATTTGCCCTGCCCCAGCGAAGCTGAGTTGGCCCTGCCTGTCAGCAGCAGTGATTCCTGGAAGGACCATAAATCACACTGTGTGTCCCCAGGGAGCGCAGGTCCTGGACTAGGGACACTGGATTGGTGTGGAGGAGTCCAGGAGGGAGGGAGGGCAGGAGAGGGCCCTGCGGACCTCAGGAGCTGACCTCTCCCAGGTTCTGCCACCCACACTCTGGGCCAGTTCTCTCCCTGGGGTGGCGGCAAGGCCCTCAAGGTCCCCCTGACACTGGACACACTCCTGGGAAAGATGCTGTCCTGTATCCCAGTTGGGGTCAGCTTTGCGGGCTCTGGGGGCTGGGAGAACCCTGAGAATGAGGGGGTGGAGGAGGGGAGAGGTGCGTTCTGCTGGCCCCTTCTCTGTGGAGTGCCAGGGACGCCAAGGAGGTGAGTGAGGGCACCGGGTGCATTCTCCTGGGAGGACAAGGCCCTGATCCCACACAGCAGAAGCTCAGGTCGCTGAGCCCGGCCCTTCCAGGACACCTCGCACAGCCCTGCAGGACGCTGGAGCCCTCAGGTCCCAGGGAAGAGGGGTGGCAGGCACCTGCAGAGAGGGCCACAGCCGGACCGGGTGGGTGGGCGTCTTCCTCTCAGGCCCAGGGACGCTCTCATCCTGGCCTCCATTCTGGCAGGGTCGGTTTGCTCCACAGCCCTGGCTGCTCAGAGCTCCTTACCAGAGCTTCCTCCATTGTGTGCGGGGCCGGCGGGTGTTTCCATCCCTTCCAGCTCAGACCAGCCCTGAGCACACTGAAAATCAGGCGACTCCTGGGAAGGCGCAGAACCCCTGATGGTGGCTTGCACGAAGCCCGGGCCTCTAACAGAACTCTTGAGGTGTCTCAGCAATGCCCTGCTCTCATGGCCCCTTCCTGGGTGGACGCCAATGGCCTGGCCAGTGCAGCCCACACAGAGGACAGAAAAGTGGGGCTGGCAGCAGCTCCAGCTGGGAACAACTGCGGCCAAACCTCCACAGCAGCCTGCGCCACTCGAGGCCAGAGCTGGGTCCAGCCCACCCCAGCCACCAGGGAGCTCGGCTGTGGGGCCAGGAGGCTGTCTGCCCTCAGATCTCCTTCCCGGCCCAGCTCGTTCTTGGTGGCCTCTCTGTGACCTGCCGCAGCCGTCCTGCCTGCAGTACACAGGGCATAGCTACCCCAGGCCGAGGGAGCCTGCTGCCCGGGCTGGCTGGGGATGCACAGTGCACTTCTGCACAGGGAATGTGGCAACTCCTCAGAAGTTCAGCATAGGGCAAGGTCCTGACTTCTCCATTCCTGGAACCAAATTTTAAAAATGTTCAGCACAAAGGGGCCAGAAGGAGCAGCCACCTGCAGCCAGGTAGACATGGAGAGAGGTGGGAACAGGTGTGCGGATAAGAAGCTACACTGGAGTAAGAACCACACACACACACACGTGTGCGCATCAGAGCAGGGTCATTCGTGAAGTCAGGAAGTGGAAACCACACCATCTGCCAACTGGGTGTCCCTCAGGTAAAGCCAAGGGGGCGCATCCATCCTGTAGAATATTACTCTGCCATGAAGAAGAATGGAGTTCTCACACAGGTATGTGTGAATGGGCCTTGCAGACCCTACGCACAGTGCCAGCAGCCAGGCGCCCAGGGCCACATGCGGTGTGATCTTCTTTTTTTTTTTTTTTTTTTTTTTTTGTCTTTTTCCTTTTTATCGGTACCAGGGATCGAACTCACAACTGCCTGCTTGCAAGGCAGGCGCTTATGCTGCTGAGCTAAATCCCCAGCCCCTATGCGGTGTGATCTTCTCATTGTAGGAAATGTGCAGGGTAGCAGAATCAATGGAGCCAGAGAGCAGATTAGCAGTGGCCACAGGCTGCAGGGGTCTGGCTTGGGACACAGGGTGACAGCTATCGGCTGAGGCTTGTCCTAGACGATGAAAATGGACTGTGGAGGTGGCCACACTCCTGTGTGATGACAGTACAAACCGGAATTGTACACTTAGGTGCCGGAATGGCTGAGCGGGAGAATTCATTCCAGGACCACTCTCGCACACACCCAGGAGCGGAGAGGGGAAGAGAGAGGCAGCCTCGGTTCCCCCATGAGCCCTGGTACTTGTATGCATCTTTCCATCCCAGCATGTCGCCCCCTGGACCTGATCCGCAGAAAGCCGGTGCCCAGGTATCAGGGCACCAGCGACGCTGCCCTGAGCTTTCCTGTTTACTCTCCTGATCTGTCACCATGCTCCTCCTCGGCTCTCAGGTGGCAGCTTGCTGCTCCTGGCCCGTCCTGTAGTCAAGGCAACCGAGGAGACGTCCACTCACACCCTCTGGGGTGGGAAGTCTTCCCAGGTGGGGGCCCAGGCTGAGTGGTGCCAGCAAATTCAGCCCGGGGCCCCCCACCCGTTGTGAGGGCAAAGGGGCCATACATGGGCTGGGGCGCCCCTGGCAGTTCCCATTGAGGGCCCCCTCTGCCTGGGGTGGCCGTGAAGAGAGGCCAGGTGCGGACACCACCTGTTTGTGCTGGGCACTTAGCGAGGCCAGGCTGAACCACACTGTTCAAACAGACTCCCGCTGCGGGCCCCTGTGCCTGCTGGGGGGTGCCTGGGCGCCAGCTCCCACCTCTCCCCAAAGCTAGCCCATGGCCCAGGCCTGTCCCCAGTGTGCTATGCCCCGCGCTGGGCTCTGCAGCAGCCGCGTGCTGCCCCTGCTGCTGGCCTACATCTGCTACCTGCTGCTCGGGGCCACCGTCTTCTGGCTGCTGGAGAAGCCAGCGGAGGCCGAGTCCAGGGACCAGTTTCAGCTGGAGAAGCTGCACTTCCTGGGGAACTACACGTGCCTGGACCGGTGGGCCCTGGAGCAGTTTCTGCAGGTGCGGGAAGCAGCGGGCGGCCAGGGTGGGCAGAGCTGTGACCCCAGGCTGAGGACTTGTGGGAGCAGAGTATGGGGACAGAGCCGGGAGGCCCAGTCCTGGGTTCCGCCCAGGTCTGGACTGGGTCACGGCGGGACCTTGAGCCAGTCACCCAGCCTCGCTGACCCCATGTCCTACCTGTGAGGCGATGGCCGCAGACACTGGCAGCGGGTTAAAGGTGTCCTAAGCTGTCACACACAGCACGGACACGGGCTGAGTGTCTGCATGGTCATCGCTGGCCACGTCCCCTCCCTGCCACTTCCCGACCCCAAGTCCAGGCCATGGCCCCTGCCTTTGTGTGGCCCCAGCTGGGGACGCAGACACAGGTCAGCAGCAGCCCCCATGCTGGCCTTGCTTCTCCAGAGCTGGGCTGTGGGCAGTGGCCCAGGTGACCGAGCTCTGGCTCTGTGCCAAGGGGCTCCCTCTGGTGCCAGCAGAGGCCGCCCCTGTCGGGCTCCTCCTGCGTCCCTCTCTCACAGAAAGAAGCACACAGGTGTGGGAAGGTGACTGCGTGTGAGACCGGGGGAGGGTACATGAGTGACAGCACCCACTGCAGAGGGACAGACCCAGCACAGAGGCCCTGTTACAATGACGGGCGTTGGCTGAGCACTTACAGCGCCCCAACCAGCAAGGAGCGGGGCTCAGAGCACCTCGGCCTGCAGCTGTTCCCGCTGTCCTCCCCAGCCTGCAGGTGGGAACTGAGGCCCGGGAGGTGGAGAGCCAGCCGGGGCTGCGGTCACTGCTAGAGACGGAACTGCATCCGCTCTGGCCGCAGGGCCCTTGCTGGGCACATACAGGTTGGCATCCATGCTGGGGACAGGAAATGGCTGGGCAGGGCCTCTCAAAGCCTCTCCCTGGGCAGCAGCAACACAGAGCCCGTTGGAGAGCAGCTGTCGCTTCCAGGTCCCATGGACCTGCAGGTGTCAATGCCCACCAGGTGGCGCTGAGCCCCTTCAGACTGAGAGCAGCCCGTTGTGAGCCTCAGTCCTCCTCCTTCTGGTGGACGGGCAGGCAGGGCTGGAGCCACAGCCCAATGTCAGGGCAGAGGCAGGGAGTGAGGCAAAGCCCTGGAGACCGGAACCTGCTCCTCCCTCAGCCTGGGCCACAGCAGAACCAGGGGCCGGGAGTAGCCAGGCCTGGTCACTGGGCTCCGATCACCCAGCTCTGTGAAGGTGGGCGAGGGCGGCCACAGGCTTGACTGCAGCTGCCAGGGCCTTCCAGGGGGACGGAACATCCCAACCTGAATCCTCGCCTAGGAGAGACGGTCGCCTGCTGGGGGAGGTCAGGGCGGGAGGCAGGAGAATGCTGGGAAAATAGGTCGAGAGTGAAAAGCTGGGCGTGGTGGTGCAGGCCTGCAATCCCAGGACTCCGGAGCTGGGACAGGAGGACCACAAGTTCGAAGTCAGCCCGGACTAACAACACGAGACTCCGTCTCAAAAAACCAGATCAAACCAAAGCAAAACAACAAAATCACACATAAAAAAACCCAAGACTGCAGTGAGCAGGTGGGCATCTCCCACAGCTGTGGACACCAGTGAGCACGTGGACATCTCCCAAAGCTCTGGACACAGGTGAGCACATGGACATCTCCCTAGCTGTGGACACTGGTGAGCACGTGGACATCTCCCACAGCTGTGGATGCTGGTGAGCACGTGGACATCTCCCCAGCTGTGGACACCAGTGAGCACATGGACATCTCCCACAGCTGTGGATGCTGGTGAGCACATGGACATCTCCCCAGCTGTGGACACCAGTGAGCACATGGACATCTCCCCAGCTGTGGACACTGGTGACCACGTGGACATCTCCCACAGCTGTGGATGCTGGTGAGCACATGGACATCTCCCCAGCTGTGGACACCAGTGAGCACATGGACATCTCCCCAGCTGTGGACACTGGTGACCACGTGGACATCTCCCACAGCTGTGGATGCTGGTGAGCACATGGACATCTCCCCAGCTGTGGACACCAGTGAGCACATGGACATCTCCCCAGCTGTGGACACTGGTGACCACGTGGACATCTCCCACAGCTGTGGATGCTGGTGAGCACGTGGACATCTCCCCAGCTGTGGACACAGGTGAGCACATGGACGTCTCCCCAGCTGTGGATGCTGATGAGCACATGGACATCTCCCACAGCTGTCGACATCTTGGGCACACAGCCTCCGCCCTGTGAAGGACAGCGTTAGCACTGAGGAAGCTGTTTGCCCAGCACAGAGCTAGGTCACCTGCCCCTCTCCACACGCCCTACCACTCAGAAAAGAAACCACCACAGCCCACTCCCACCTGCCCGCCATCTGGCACCGGGGTCAGGGCCTTGCCCCACTAGGACTTGGGTTCCAAGGACCCAGCGGGGCCACCCGAGGCCAGGCCCAGCGCCGCCCTGAGCAGGGAGGGCCGTGCTGGGTGTGTCTGGCCACAGCACTCTGGAGTGCGGTCCGCATCCTAAGAGCAGGACTTGCCGGCCTGGGACAGACTTAGTGACTGGGACCCCAGGCCGACCCTGTCCCCAGGGCACCACCCTGAGTCAGTGGCTCACAGACCTGCGGGACGTGGGGCCCAGAGGGAGGCCCGAGCTGCCTGCTCCCCCCACCCCCGTACCTGCCTCGAGGGCTGCACCGAGCCACAGCACTCTGCCGCCCTGCGACATCACAGCTACAGGGGACAGGGCTGGGGCACAGAGGAAGGGACCCGCATTCTCCAAGAGGGCTGGCTGGGCCCAAGGGCTCAAGGCAGCAAGAGTTACGTTCTGAAAACACACGCAGCGCACGCGCAACACATGCATGTGCGCAGCACAGGGAGCTGGGCACGCAGAGCATGCGCACGGCAAGCGCTCCGCAACAGGTGCGCGCATGCGCACACAGTCTGTGTGCAGGACCCAGGGAATTTTTCCCTTGGGCGGTGCTGGGCTCCCTAGAGGGTGGCAAAGAGCACTGCAGGTCTTCCCTTGCAAGCTCCCCACCCTCAGGCCTCTGGGAGAGAAGCCTGGCTGCCCCCCCCCCATTCCCGACAACCCCTTCTGGGAGGGACACCCAAACCGTAATCTGCTCTCTGTCCTAACACCCATGTGCGTGTCATCTCTTGGCCACAGCCTTGTCTCCACCTGGACCCTCCTCCTGGATCGCCCTCCTCACCCCCTTAAGCCTCCTGCCACCCCCAACCCAGGTGGCCCTGGCCGGGGACACATGCTGGCCTTGGAGGGTGGCCCTTGGCCACCTGAGCCTTGGGCTCCTGGTCCATTCAATGGGAACGACGCTAAGAGCGCTGCTGGGGGAGTCATGGTGAAATCCAGCAGCCCAGGGCTGGCGCCGCAGCTGCGCAGTAACCATCGCCGGCTTCCACACCCCCACTCCCACCCCTCCTCCACCCCGCAGGTCATCTTGGAAGCCTGGGTGAAAGGCGTGAACCCCCAAGGCAACTCCACCAACCCCAGCAACTGGGACTTCGGCAGCAGCTTCTTCTTTGCGGGCACGGTGGTCACCACCATAGGTAAAGCGCTGCGGGTCGAGGGGGCTCCCGAGGCCCGTCTCGGTTGGGGCTCCCTGGGAGCAGATGCTGGGGAGAGATGGGGTTCAGCCAGGGAGGACTGGGGAAGCACAGGTGGGGAGCGGGCAGGAGAAATGGACGAGAGGGGAGCAGTCGGGCTGCACAGTGTACCCGCTGGTGGCTGGGCCCACGCCCTTGGGGACCTCTAGGGACAGGTGGAGGCCAGCTGAGCTTGGGCCCAAGGGCGGGGACAAGGCCCTCCTGGTCTGCCCGCTTGGCCCCGGCTGCAGAGAGCTGGTCCTGGATGCGGACTCTCTAGCATCCTCGACCTGCCTCGGGGACGGGGCTGTGGGGCTGGGCAGTGGGCAGTTATCTGTCTCTGAAACTGCTGGTGGCACCCAGGTGTCCCAAGGGGGTTGAGCACCAGCAGTGCCTGCTGCATCCTCAGCCAGAAGCCTGCTCCATGCCCCCAGGAAGCCTCAGACCTGGTGTAAACCAGGCGCCCATAAGGTCCACTCCCACACCCCTCCCTGGACACTCAGGCAGCAAAATGAGGGGGAGGGGTGTAATGTGGGTGGAACCCAGGTGTGGCCCCCCGCCCGACAGTTTCCAGTCCAATGAAGAGGGGTCCAGTGAGTGCAATAACCTAAGGCAAGGCAGACGATTAGAGAGAGAGGGCACAGAGCCCCCAGGAGGGCAGAGCCCCGCGGGGCCTCTCACCCAGCAGCAGGAGGAAGGAAAGGCTGGGAGGGCTTCGAGGAAGGAGGAGCAGGATTTCTAGAATAAAGATCTCCAGCAGGGGTGGGGTGAGTGCTCAGGGAACCAGGGAGTGTCCCCTCCTGCCCCTCTGGGGGTGGAAGACAAACCTCTGCTAGAGTCTGAGGGTCCAGGGTGGGTGTCCTGAACTTTCCCCACCCCAGGATCCGGGAACCTGGCACCCACACCAAGGCCGGCCATGCCTTCTGTGACTTCTATGCCCTGGTGGGCATCCCGCTCAACGTGGTGTTCCTCAACAGCCTGGGCAGGGGGCTGCACGGCTAGCTGGCCACCCTGGAGAGGTGGAAGGAATGGCCCCTGCGCTCCCAGGTAGGGCCTCTCGCCCCTGCAGCCCCAGGTCACGGGCTGGGGTGAGGCCACCTTCGGAAGGAGAGAAAGGGCCGTGGAGGGACTGGCAGGGAGGCTGGGTCTCGGTGCGGCCTGGATGAGGTGCAGTCGCTTGGAGCTCTGCAGCCAACGTGGCCATCAGAGGTGACTGCAGAGGCCAAGGGGCTGGACTTCCGCACCTCAGCCCTGGTTGGTCACACACTGGATGCAGGCCCCACCCCGAGGTCTGCAGGGGGTGTGTGCCCCTGTGTGGCCCAGGGCTGCCTCCACCCGCAGCCTCCAGCGTGGACTCAGGGCTGCTCCCCTCCCAGCTCCTGCAGGTCCTGGGCCTGGGCCTGGGCCTGACCCTGGGGTCCCTGGCCATCCTCGTCTTCCCGCCCATGGCCTTCAGCCACGTGGAGGGCTGGAGCCTCAGCGAGGGCTTGTACTTCACCTTCATCACTCTCAGCACCATCGGCTTCGGGGACTACGTTGTGGGTGAGGGGACCAGCACGGGTCTCGGGGTGGGGGCCCACTGGGATTCAGGAGTGTGGGGAGGGCAGTGGGGGATGTTTCTAGGCCACAGCAGCTCTCAGTGGCCTAGAGTCTCTGGCCAGGGCCCATCACCCTTTCCCCAGGGGTCCCCACAGAACCTGGAGGTGGCTGTGCCCACGCCTGCCGTCCCTCCCGTGGCAGGCAGGGACCCCAGCAAGCTCTATGTCTCGGAGTACCGGAGCCTGGCTGCCCTCTGGATCCTCCTGGCCCTGGCGTGGCTGGCGCTGCTCTTCTCCCTGGGCCCCGTGCAGCTCTGGCCTGTGGCCTGAGGAAGGGCCAGCCCCTGACCCTGCAGGACTCCCCAGGCCTCTGAAGAGTTCCATCTCTGTGTGACGCTCCCCACTGGCCCAGCAGCCCCCCAGCATCTCCAGCCCAGGCTGTCTGCCCTTGGGGTTTCCCCCTCCAAATCACCTGCTCCCCAGCTGGGGCCCCCCCAGAGCTCTGCAGATGGGACGGGGAAGGACACACAGAGGAGCTTCAGGGACAGGGTCACGCCGGGATGGATTCAACCTACACCTGCTCCCAAGGGCCCTCCCTGCCCTCAGAGGTGACCTGGAAAAGTCACCCGGACTGGATCCCTGTGGCCAGAGCTCTGTCACCCTCTCCACTCACCTTGGACACCTTAGACGGACAAAGGTGGCGGTCACTGTCTTACTGGAGAGGTGCACAGCATGCATCTGCCAAGATCTCCTAGGTGCCAGGCATGGCACCAGGTCTGGGGGTGCAGCAAGGTGCATCCTGCCCTTGCCGAGCCTGTGGCCCTTCCTCTGCTCAGGGAGGAAAAGGGACACGGGGCTTCCTGGTCAGGGTTTTCTTGCTTCCCAAGCCCACAGACAAGTGGTAATGGCTGGGTCCCTCTTCTCTGAGTGCACAGTGGCTGGGAGACCCAGGAGGACCTGCAGGTGGCCAGCCCTTGGGAACAGTCTTGGGGGTGGGACTTAGGCAGGAAGCCAAGACTATAAATTCGTGCCTGCTTTCTCTTCCTCAGCATGGTTTTCAGGAGCCCCCCGCCCTGCCACTACCTGCAGGAGGTACCAGGGGCTCTGGGCTCCCTCCCCACAGAGCTGCGGTCACTGTGGCCTCTCCTCCTGCCCTAGACTGGGGCGTGCACTCCTCTGAGGGCAATGAATCCTCACAGCTCGGGACTTCTTTCTAAATCCCTGGGATTGGGTCTCCACGGTGTGGGCAGAGGGGTCCCTGAGGAGACCCTGGCCAGGAGAGGCGCTGGACCCTCCCTGCCACAGCACTGACAGCAGGGCTCGGAGCTGGGGACAATGCCCACCTGCCTGGCACTGGGCACCATGGCTTCTGCTAATGCATCTGGATGCAGTAACCTGGACCTGCTGATTTGGGTGGGGAACAGCTGTCCCAAAGGGAAAGAACAGATGGGGCGATAGGCACTCGGTTTGGCTCCTGCAACAGGATTGTGCCTCATGGGCCGTGTTCCCTAGAGGAGCAGGACAGGTGGACGCTCCCATTTGGGAGTGAGGAGGGCTAAGGCTGCAGGCCCTGGATCACAAGCCCGCAGGGACCCAGAGTGTCTGAGCCCTGGCAGAAGGGCACAGGGAGTTGGACACAGGACAGGAAGAGGGTGACCAAGTACAGCTTGCCTTTTCCAAGAGTTGGGTGCAGACGTTGTCCTGGGGCACAGTCCTCATACTGAGGGCCAGCAGGACCGAGGGTGCCCATGATCCCAGGAACCTGGGAGAGGACCCTGGAGGGCGGTAGGACCTGGCCCAAGCGCTCGTCTGGGACAGCTGGGAGGGGGCTGGAGTCCAGGGCGAACACAAGGCCAAGTCCACTTTACCCTGAGACTTCAGACACCAGGGGCCCAGCTGCAGATGCCAGGAGTAGGTGTAGAGGAGATTGCAGAGGTCACCCGGGGCAGAGACTCGGTAGAGGAGGGGACCCAGCAGCCAGAGTGCACAGGGATCTCTCCAGACTCTCAGCAGGTGACACTGACTGACATCAGGGGCCCGGCTTGGTCCCCACTCCCCCTGCTCTGGAGCCTGAGGGCAGGGCCTGGACAGCGGTGCCCAGTCCAGCATTCCCTCCCTGAAGTCCTGGCGGCTTCTCCTGGGAGGAATGCAGACCCTGCTGGCCTCCAGTTGGAAGCCAAACCCACAAAAGGCCCCAGAGCCATGGGGAGGTGCAGTTCTGAGCCCCCAGAGCTGGGCCAGAGCTGGACAGGGCAAGGCCTCCATCTGTGCTTTGTCTGCTCCACAGAGCCTTCCGGCCCGGCCCAGCGGAATGGGCGCCTTTCTCCCCTGTGTGCCCACAGCACAATAAATACTGCGTGGTAACATACTGATGGCACTGCTGATGCTGCGCCGTTCTGTCTTCACGTGTGACACCTCATCCTTGCAGTGACTCGAGGAAGGAAGCACGTTTAGGATTCCCACTTCACAGATCAGGAGGCTGAGGCGTGAAGCTCAGTAACCCGCACCATGCACCGCACTGCCTCCTCCATGTCCAACTGCTGGGTTCATCTCTGCCCCGTCTTTACTGCAGCCCCTGCCCTGGGCCAGGGAATTATGGGGTAACGCGATCAGCCTGGGGTGCCAGGGAGACCTTGGGCACCTTCTTCTCCATGCTCATCATCGCCACCACCAGTAAGGGCAGCAGGGGCCAGGGCGGCTGGGCTGGGAGGGCAGCTTCTCCCTCACTATAGCAGTGACTCGGTTTCTCCTTTCACCCAGATCCCCGCGTGTGTTTCACGCAAACCACAGGGGGCGCTGGCCTGCGTGGCCTTTCAGAGAGCAGAGCTTCCCGGGTGGTGCGGGAGGGACCACGCCCCTCACCTGAGCCGGAGCGGGGGTGGGGAGGGGAAATCGAAGAAAGTCCCGCAGATTGCGCTCCTTCACCCCGCCCAGGCCTGCAGAGCGGCTGAGGTGGTCCTGGTCCCTTGAGGGCACCTGGGAGCTGCTGCGTGGAGGGGACGCGCTAGATCTATCCCTCTGAAGCCCAGCAGAGGCGCTGGTCAGTAGCCTGGAGCCCTCTCTACTCTCGGCCTTCGGCCCCTGCGTGACCCAAACTCCCCGCCAGGGGGCAGGCGCACACCGCCGGCGACTGGAGCATGGCTCCCCCTCCGTGCGCAGGCCTGGGCTGGATGGGGTTCCCAGGAGGAGCCCTGATGCACACACGTTCAGCCAGCATATAGGCGGTCTAGTTCCGAGGGCTGTGCCTCCGGATGTGGGGAGCCTCTAGTTCCTGAACCCCACACTTCCTGCCGCCTCTGACTTTGGCTCATCAAATTCAGAGTTCTGGGGTCAGGTGTGATGGCACATGCCTGTAAGCCTAGCACTTGGGAGGCTGAGGCAGGAGGATTGTTACGAGTTCGAGACCAGCTTGGGCTGCAAAATGAGATCCTGTCTCAAAAAAAAAAAAAAAAAAAGAAAAGAAAAAGAAAAAGAAAAGAAAAGAAAGAAAAAGAAAGAAAGAAAGAAAAGAAAAGAATACCTTGTTCCATCCGCTGGCCCAAAAAGGTCAGGCCCAGGACCCAGGGCTGCAGGGCACAGAGCTGGAGTCAAGCGGAGAACCACTTGGGCCTGAAGAACCTGGGCTCTGCCTGTGGACAGACGCTCACAGGTGGGGGCTCCAGTGTTAGGGGGTGTGGTGTGCTGGCCCCAGCCGGGAGCAGGAGTGTGGGGGAGCAGGAGTGTGGGGGAGCGGTGTGGGCAGGATAGGGGGCAGGATGGGGGGCATCCACCCCTTCATTTATGCATTCATTCACCTGCCTCCCCATTCATCACACATCCGTTCATTCATCGGTTCATTCACCCAGCATGCATTCTTGTGGCCATTCAAGAGCAGCCGTGGGGCCTCAGGTCCTGAGAACACAGAGATGACTGTGCCCCAGCCTGTGCTCCCCAGGGGTTCCCAACACACGAGGAGGCAGAGACAGAGAATTTGTACCACTTGCTGGCTGCCCTGGAGTCCAGGCCTTGTATGAGCCCCGAGCAGGGGCCTTGGGGGTGGGGTGGGGACCCAAACACCCTCTGTGGTGGGCAAGAAGGGCACTGTGCACCACAGGATCCTGGGGCCCCAGGGAGGGAGGGCACATGGTACTTGGAAGGTTGGGGCTCCAGATGAGGCTCAGGGACAGGGCAGGAGGGACGCTGCCCCCCACAGGGGAGGTCATGGTGGTTGCAACCTGAGTGGGGACTCAGTCAGGAGGAGGCAGCTGATCAAAGTAGGTGGGGCGAAACTGGGCACCACGGCTCACACCCATCTTTCCAGCTGCCGGGGAGGCTGAGGCAGGACCTAGCCTGGGCCACTGGCTCCTAAACCCGCCTCTTGTGTGTGCGGGAGATCTGGGAGAGGGTCCTGAGGGAGGAGGAGGAGGGAGGATCAGGGACAGCTGGGGACAGCCTTGGGGTGACCACCGAGAGGACAGAGGGAGAGAAAGGGTCTGGGGCAGCTTGGAGAAACCTCAGCTGGTGACAGGGAATCTGGAGCCAAGAGGGGCTTGGAGGGTTGCTGGGGGGCAGGGACCTGGCTTCAGTGCCCCGCTGTGCCCTGCAGTGCACAAGCAGCCTGGGGTCATGGGGACACAGTAGACACCTGAGGTGCTTGTCCTCCAGCCTCATCTGTCACACGGGACCCCGATGCCTCTGCCTCCTCCGTCTCCGTGTCTGCAACTGGGGTCGGCCACATGGAGGCTCAGAGGCCTGAAGTCCAGAGGCCACGGCCAAGGCAGGGTCAACCCTGTGTGCTGTGACCAGTCAAGGTCCCTCCTGGTCACTTGCCCAGCACTGAGCTGTCCTCCAAGTCCAAGTGCAGACTCTGCTGTGGTCCTGAGAGCCCTCTCACCTTCCCGGAGACCAGGCTGGGGACACAGCCCTGGGTGCTCGAGCAGAAGACATTCTGCTACCATGGGCAATGGTTGGTGGCCAGACTGACAGTCCCAGGAAGGCCAACGTCCCGAGGGTCGGGGGAGGGAGGAGGGTGCACATGGCCCAGCCCGGGGCCACACAGCGTTCTGAAGTCACCAGCCTTGCTGGGACAGCTGAGCCAGACACTCATGAGAGGCAGAGGGGGGACCTGAGCCCAACAAGCCCTGCAGCCCCCTCTCCTCTTGCTGAGCGCTGAGGCCCCTCCCGGGGTCCTCCATCCTGGAGGCGGTGGCCAGTGCCGCTCTGTCCCTGCTCCTCCCGGCCTGCAGCCTTCAATTGCATTTGCAGCTCACCAGAGGGCCCTGCCAGCTGCCAGGGCTCCCGCCACTCGTGATTTCACCTGAAGAACTGAAATAAAAGGGGAGAGAAATGCACACCCCTGTGCGGGCAGGAGCCAGGACTGGGGGTGCCTGGTCAGGGAGCTGCTCCCTGCTGATCTCATTTGGGACTGGCTGCAGGTCGGGTGGGCCAGCCTTAATCCAATCAGCCTGATCAGTCCACACTCCTGCAGGCTTTGAGGTCAGCTCGGGGCTGGGCCCGGCTGGCTGGCTTCGGGGTCCTGAAGAGGAGCTGGCCCGGGGAACCCACAGGGTCTGCCTCAGACCAGCAGGCTGGCTTGGGCAGTGGACAGAGATGTCGTGCAGGGAGCTAAGATAGACAAAGCCATCGAAAGATCCACAGGGCCCGTCCTCCTCTCCCTGGAGGGAGGCAGGGCAGCTGCCCAGGAAGCATCCAGAGCGGGGGGTATAATAGTGCTCTGCGCCTCACAGCGAACCCCATCCAAACACCTCCTTAGCCACCAGTCGTATTGAGGCATCCTGTGGAGGGGAAGGATGGGCAGACGGCAAGCCATACAAGTCTTGGGCATCTTCTGT